ACATTGATCAAATTGTAGGGAGAATGCCCAGCCTCAAAGCAGCCATGTGTAAGATGATTGCAATCCCTGCTGTTAAACTCAACCCTGACCTGTACAGCTACGTGCAACAGCATGATTAGGGTGACCAGAATTTCAAAGTCAAATCTGGGACTCACTGAAAAACCCTATAAATCAGTGTTTCTCCAACTGGTCCCTTCCAGAATTGCTGATTGGTATCTTGGAACATTCTGATGAAATGAGGAAGGAGGATGTCTTCGTGTACGCATGCAGGACTGTTCTGCTGTGGCATCTTAATGGACAAAGAGTGGATGGTATGCGAATTGCCAGGGTGTCACATAGTTGGAGAAGTGCTTCTATTTTGGTTCTGCCAAACGTTGGGGAATATGAAGGCCTGGTCGAAGAGGAAGGCTGAGAATTCGGATATTTGTGCAATCTGGAGAAAACTGACAAGACACAGGAACCTTTAGTCATAAACCTGAATTATGCTGGCAAAACCATGATGTTTGGTCATCCTAAGCTTAGTTTGAGATAGTAAGTTGTCCTCTGGTTTGAACGTGAAGATTTGATCGAAGTGTAACCTTTTACGCATTTGGGTTTTGGGGCTTGATTTTATAAAGCACACTTCTGCATGTTTGAATCCCAATAAATGCTATTCTGTGGCTTCCACTGTTCAAAGTCATTTGCTATTGGCTTTATTTTAGGGAATATTTTAATCACTAGAGCATGTATCATGGGTTAATGAAATGTATTCTTTCTTTGAAGGCCAGTGTTGTACGGTGATGCGTATATTTAAAAAATGCTAGTTTTTAATCTTGTGATTGAAAAATAGCAACAATATGAAGTGAAACACATTGCAGCATTCTTTGAGGATGTTAAAATGTTTAATGCTACATCTGACATTGACTGTACTATGATGTGTCTTGCTTTATGGCCAGTTTGGTTTATGTTTCAAGTTTCGTTTTCTCCCTTTAATATCAGTTTTAATAGGCCCTGAACTATTCAAGTAATTGATTGCAACTCCCAACAAACACACGAAGAGTAAACCGGAAGCAAATATAAAATAAAACAATCCTTTTTGCTATTTCTTTCTTTTGAGAAACCGATGTAGTTTTGGATTGAGCATTCTTCGTCGTTGTTCTAAGAATGGCAAAGATTCTCCAGTTTAAGTATGCCAGTGTAAAATGTGGTATGATGGCTTCCAGTGAAGCAGGAAGTGGCAAATACTTCCTGTGATTTTTAACTATTCAACTAGCTTTTAATATTATTTTATTACTTTTTTTCTCCCCCATGCCTTGAAAATATTTGGCACAGTGTAAAAGGCACATTGAATTGATTATGTTCATAAGAAACAGGACTCAAAGTGCACTTGTATGATGTGTGTTCTATCATGATGAACGAAGTGAGCAACCAATCCCAAATTTAAATTAAAACAAAAAAAATGCTTCTAACACTCAAAGTTGGGTAGCATCAACGGAAGGTAAAATGGTTAAGGACATGAAAAATGAGCAAGAGTGAGCTCTTCAGCCCTTCAAGCATGCTGGTTCATTTGATTGATCTTCTACCTCATGTATGTTTGTCGAGCTGTCCTTATTTTTTGATTCCTTTAGTAACCAAAACTCACTTGGACTCTGCCAATGGCTGATTTGAAAATATCCTGTGACCAGGCAGGCTCTGGTATACTTTTGGAAATGTTCAGAACCCTTCAGGTTTTTGCTCCTCCCTCAGTCATAAAATGGCTGATCTCTTATTCCGAGACAATGAGCCCAAGATTTAGACTCCCTATCCAGGTAAAACCTTGCAGCACCTACCTGATCAAACCCTTCAAGAATTTTGTTTCATTTATATTGCCTGATGTCTGCAATGATATGAATATGTTGCCATCACTCTTCTGAATTGTATGAAAACTAACAAGCCTGTTGTGCCTCCACTGGATTGCTTTGCACATTGCCCGAGAAGAAGTTAGGAAATGATGATATGTAAAGTCAAATGCTTGGAAATTAAATACTGTTTGCACCATCTAAATAATACAGATTTGTATTTACATGGCATCTTAACATACTGCAGGGTGTCCGTAAGGCGCTTTAAAGAACTGTGAATGAAACTCATTTTACTTCCAGCAGATTCAGGCAGATAGACAACAGCTTGATCAGAGCCAGGTTTTGAGGAGAAATGAGGAAGTGGCAATTTTGACTTTTGGGCTTTGGCAGCTAAAAATTCAATCACTGGTGTTGAAATGAGGCTGCACAAAAGAGGCATGATCTGAAGAAGGCAACACAACATGGAGCTGGAGGAACACAGCAGGTCAGGCAGCATCAGAGGAGCAGGAAAGTTGCCGTTTCGGGTCTGGAACCTTCCTCGGTCCCGACCCGAAACATCAGCTTTCCTGCTCCTCTGATGCTGCCTGACTTGCTGTGTTGTCTCCGACTCCAGCATTGGCCGCTCTTGCTATCTCATGGTCTGAAGAATGCGGGCCTGGAGGAGGTTAACCGCAGGTGTGGGGGAGACCATGGATGGATTTGAAAACTAGCATGAGCTTTTTAAAATTGAATCGCTGCCAGACCGGGAGCAAGCGCAGCGCAGTTAAGGGGTGCAAGATGAGCTGGATGCTGTATGAGTTAAGATATGGGTATTAGTGTTTTGATGAGCTGAAATTTATAAGCATACAAAATATAAGGCCAGCAAGAAGAACATTGAGTAGTTATATCTAGCAATAACCGAGGCCTGGTTAAGGGTTTCCATTGTAGATGGACCTTGAGGCAGTGCTACGCAGGTACAAGGAGGTAACCAGGGTATTAGGATCTGGGGTCAATAAGTTAACTTGGGGTTACGTTGGACAATTAGATTTCTGGTCATCGAATACTGGATGTTGGGCATGCAGTATGAAAATTAGAGATGGCGGAGGGATCAGACCTTTACCAGTTGGACAGTAGTTTCACTGAGGATTTATGAGGATCTGGAATTGGTACCATCAGGTAAATTTGGGCCATTTCCCAAAATTAGTCAATGGTCAGGAGTATCACTTGTACTGATGCAACAGTCCAATGGGGTAGATAGAAGTAAATCTCTTGTTTAGAGGCTGTTCTAACATGTTAGATTTTTTATCTGAATTTTTCTGAAGAAGGGTCCCAACCCGAAACGTCAGCTTTCCTGCTCCTCTGATGCTGCCTGGCCTGCTGTGTTCCTCCGGCTCTACACTGTTATCTCTGACTCCGGCATCTGCAGTTCTTACTATCTGTTAGTTATGAAAGGCATGTTTTAAATAAATCCTAAAGATTTCTTTGGCTTGGGAAGGTTTTATCAAGAGAAATTTGTACGTGTGTAAGTCTACCTTTGTGGATTAAATCCAGCCACGTGTTTTGCAGTGACCTTTATGGGATCAGTTGTGTTGAAGTTTTTGGAAGGACTGAGCTGAAAATGATCAAAATTCAGTGCAGTTGTTAGATAACAATTTGTTAGAGGGCAAGAGCACACAAATGAATGTCGTCAGCCACTTAGTGCCTTGAGTCTGCTCTTTCTTTCAGTGAGATCCACATTACTGCCTACCCCCAAAAGTCTCTAAACCTTTTATTGAACAACCTATCTATCTCCACTTTTACAACTTTCATATAATCTGCTTCCAGTCACTTAACTGTTTTCCTGTGGTGTCATTTCTGTTTCTTATCCATTTGGGAATTGGTTGTTTGCAGCTGAACCCTACTGGTTCTCTGTCCCCTCTTTTTTGCACTTCTGAAGTCCTGGAGGCTGACAAACTATTTTTTAAAAAAAATGTAAGAATTACTTTCTTACTCAATAATTCTTAGGTTTACACTTTGTTCCAGCTGCAATGCGTCTAAAGATGTTTGAGGATTGATGTATTTCAGTCAGCCAACAAAATTTGACCTTATCTGAAATTTTGAAGACAGTTCTATCGTGAAAAGCTTTTTGGTCTTCTTTAACTCGACCAGTTCCTCTGAAGTGATTTTTACGCTGCCATCCCTCTCTTCGTTTTTGCATGCCTTGGCAAGGTGTCTTCAGACTTGCGAATCTATTTCACCTTGCATACAGAGTAAACTGAAATAGACACAGCTATATAATTGCAAATAGCTCTCAGAAATATTAGGTGATGGGGAATGTTCTGTACTTAAACGATTTTGATCAAGGCAACCTTGGGTCTTTTGTCAGTCTCTAGTGAGCTATCTAATCTAGGGTAGAATGGCTTCAGTGCAACAATTGCTAGCTCGGGAAGGGAATGTAAACTGTGATTTAGACTGTAGACTAGTGGTGTTTGCACTGGAATGTTAATCTAGAGACCCAGTTGATATTCTGGGCACTGAGGTTCGAATCCCACCATGGCAGATGGTGGAATTTGAATTAGATTAAAAATCTGAAATTAAGAGTTTAATGATGACCATGAAATCCATTGTCGATTGTTGGAATTACTCAGTTGGATCACTAATGCCTTCTAGGGAAGGAAATCTGCCATCTTTACCTGGTCTGGCCTACATGTGACTCCAGACCCAATGTGGTTCACTCTTAACTGCCCTCTCGGCAATTACGACGGGCAATAAGTGCTAGCCTAACCAGTGATGCCCACATCCCATGAATGAATAAAAAAAAAAGCTACCACTTTGTTGAAAGCTCAATGTACAACTTCAATCTAGATAGAAACATCGAAAACAGGTGCAGGAGTAGGCCGTTTGGCCCTTTGATGGCTTCTTGGCATTTAATTGTCACCTATATTATTAATTATGGTCCCTTGGAGGGAAAAATTTCACTGGAATATAGCGCAAACAGTTTAGATGCCGTCTGGTTATGAGAGATTTGAAAAGTAATTTGACAGTAATTAGTGAAATGCCTTCACAGCTGAAAACAAACCATCTTAATTGCACCACAAAGAATTCAGATTTTAAAAGCAAGGAGCTGCCATGTTCATCTAAAATGGTAGAAATTATATGTATCTTTATACTGTCTACTCGCGTACTGTGAAGAATTGCTAAGTTTCTGCTTTCGTCCTCTCTTAGGAAAACCAGCCATGATTGACGATAAAGGCCCCAGGGTTAGTGACTACTTTGTAGTTGCAGGCCTAACTGACACATCTACGCCATTGGAGGAAGAAATCACTATATCAGAGACTAAGTCAACAGGACCAAAAGCACCAATAACAGATCTTGCTGTCATCATCAAATCAGCAGGAGAAAATGTACCAGAAGGTTACACTTGTATTGAAACTACCCCTACGGGACTTCAGGCAAACTTGAATTTTGGGAGTTTGAAAAGCCCAGAAATGCATCTTTGCTACAAAAGAGGGCGTGAAAAGCCACCTCTCATTGATATTGGGTAAGTTGGTTAATATTCAAGAATCATTTTGTTTTGAGGTAGTTGGAAGGGGAGGGGTCAAGAAAATAATAGTTATAATGTATTTCGATTAGTCTGCAATTGTGAGTAATTTATTGGTTGTTAAGTGGCTTACTGCAGTTCCTGGTAGCTAACTAAAATTTTACCTCTACTGTTCAAGTTCTGGAAACTGAGACCTGTCGTCAGAGGGGCAGGTTAGTATTTTTTTGTGAAGTAAAAGTTGGGCATGTTAACATACTTGCTTTCTTTTCTTGTGGAGGTTTTGATCTCCGTTAACTGGACCATTTGAAAAGCTGTGTGGGGGAACAAACTCTTTCAGTAGGGAGATGTGAATGAGTCTAGGCTGTGTTTTCAAACCACACTGCAGGCAATTGCTTCCCAATGTTTGTGGTATTGGGAAGTCACTATACCCCAATCTGAAGTTTAAGTATGATCTATCTCCTATGTTGTTACTTTTTGAAAGCTGGAAAAACCAAATGACTATTTTTATAAATCCTACTGAGCACACCATACTCACATGGGGACTGATTTTGGGGACTTGCATGGGATATTTCCTGGCTTATTGTCTCTTTTTTGTTTGTTTATGTAACTTTTATTCCAGTAATCTCCGAGCCCACCTGAATCAGGCATGCATCTTTGTGGCATAAGAGTGTGAATAGCTTTAATGTTGTTGAAATCAAATTTGATTAACTGCACTTGTATATTTCACTCAAACCTAGAATGTTGTGTATCCTGCATAGTCTGTTTTGATACTGTGCCTAAGGTGCTGAATTATGGACAGGTTTGGTCCATTGCTTGACACAAATTGAAGTGAATTTTAAGTTATTTCACCTCTAACTTTCAAACCATAGTTCAGTTCTTGGGATAAAATTGACCAAGGACACTTCAGGAAAAACATCTGTTTTTATTTCATTCTTACTAAATCCTTTATTAGGTGATACCCAGGAAAATAATTTTACTATATTTGGACTCGTAGAGAAGCAGCATTATAATAATGAATAAATATCTTCAATCATTATCAGTCCATTCAATTTAAAACCACAACACATGGGGAAATCGTTAATTTCCTAAGCACCAGAGCATTTAAATCGGTGCAAGACAACAGACATAAATTAGTTTTTCAAAAATATAACTGATGCACACTTTTGCCAAAAGCCATCACCCCAAACACACATTCAAGAGCCTAGTGAGTACGCAGTTTAATGGTTACATGTTAGGTTCTAATATTGTCAATGCATCTCGAGTAATTCACAGCATGTGAGAAGCTTTTAATTATAATGACATGTCCTTTTTGTAATAATGAGGATAGTTGAGTGTGAAATAGTTAAATATAGGGTCCATTTATTGTTAGACATGAATAGTTTAACATTTCCTGCGTAGATATTTTAATTTTATCGAACTATTCCAAGTCTCCAATTTAGATGAAGACTTTTGGAGCGATCCTAATGTTGAAGAGTTGCCTAGTGGAGTATTCAATTTCCCAGGCAATTCCTTCAGAGTCTGCTACAAAGGGGGTTCTGCAAGGTTCCCAAGTGGAACTCCCATCTGCAGTGGCATAGTAACTGTCTGACCAGTGGAAAATCTGCCCCTAAGTTTTCAAACAGTAAGAGAAGCTGCCTTCTCTTTTGTGCCCAGGAGTTACATTTTGCATCTTAGTAAATAGGTTTTGGCCTGGGCTCTTGTCCCTTGGACAACCAGATCACTGGTTTGTCTCCAGCCAGAAATAGTAGACAGTCAGGAGACCATAAGATTGTAATAAATAGGAGCAGGAGTGGGCTACTTCCTTCCATATGCTGCCTTAACCACAGAGGACTTGAGCGAGCTGTTTGTGGCTTTAATAGCACTTTCTTGCGTATGCCCCATATCATTTACTTCCCTTGTGAATCACATGCCCTTCTCCATTACCATAATTGATCTTGAAATTAAAAGACAATTTAAAACATGTAGCCTCCCATTCATAACAATGCAGCGAGGGTTTTTGCTGTTACCACCCTTTCAACAGTTCCAGATTCCCATCATCCTTTGAGTGAAAGCAAATCTCCATTAGCTGTCCTCCAATCGTTCTACTAATTACATTACATCTAGACCTTCTGCTTATTGACCTCCCTGCTAAGGGAAATAGATTCTTCCTATTCACAAGGGAACTCAAACTTCAAACACCTCAATTAAATCTCCCATTAGTCTCTACTGTTTGAAAGAAAATAATAGCTTTTCCAATTTTCCTAATTCCAATTTAGCTAAATTTATTCATTGCTGATAACACCACCTTTGTAAGTCCCGTCAAGTGTGATGACCTCCTACCTAGCATGGGATTAACAGAACTGCCAGCAGTGTTGCAGCTACAGTGTCTTGTGCAGTTGTAACGACACCACCCTGCAACTGTAGTCTGTTTCAGCTAGTCAGGTATCCGAATGCATTTCCTCAGTTGTTTCAATTGCATTCAAATTGTCATTTTTCTGATTTGCATCAAATATGTACCCCCCCACCTTAATGGAGACAATGTATAGTTGCATGAAAAGCAAGATCCTTGTTCTCTTTAACTGTTTTCATATGATCAGAACTAGCCAATTTGTCTCACAGCCAATGGGTTATTTGTGAAATATTGATCCCCTATACATTGCAGTAAATTTGTGTGCAGCTATGTACTATAAATCAGCGGTTTCCAAACTTTCTTGGTTGAAGTACCTATTTTCAAATGGGTTAGCAATTATCAGTTAAATTGTAAAAACATGAGGGATCCAAGCACAAGTAGACCATTCAATAGGATGACGACTGATCTGATGTTGGTATTAATTCACTTTTGTGCCTGGCTGCAATAGCCCTCAAACTCCTTTTGACCATTGAAAACCTTCTGTCTGCATCTGCCTTATCTAATCCCTTTAGAATCTTATGTTTCAAAAAAAATTTGCCTTTCCTTCTTCAGAACTGCAGTGGATATACTGCTTACATGCACAGCCTTTCCTCGCAAGGTACTCACTTCATCTCAAAAATCAACCGAGTGAATGATGGCTGAACAACTTTGAATGGAAAAAAACCCCTCTTGTAAGGAGACCAAAATGGAACCCATATTCTAGATGTGGTCTTGTCGCCGTCCTGTATAGTCAAAGCAAGACTTCCCTACTTTTATACCCTATTCCCTTTGCAATAAAGCCAATATTCTTTTTCCCTTCTTAATTATTGCAGCACACAGTCTTGATTTGGAACTGTATCACTGTTTCTTTACTGTCCCTGGGAGAGAATGCTGGAACTTCCTGCCAGCATTGTGGGTGTACCTACCCTCTGTTGACTGCAGTGATAAATAATGCAGATCATTACACATCAGCAGTTTCAGATGATCAAAAAATGCTGGACTAGTCAGCAATGCCCTTACCCTACGAAAGAAGGGAAAACGTTATGAACCCATCTTGCAGATTTTTCTCAATACACAGAACCTATTAGTATTCTTTCAGAGATAGTAGGAACTGCCGATGTTGGAGTCTGGGATAACAAGGTGTAGAGCAGGATGAACACAGCACGCCGGGCAGCATCAGAGGAGCAGGAAAGCTGACGTTTCGGGTCTGG